TTAATTCAAATCACAACAGAAACTATACAAGCTAACATGATACAAGCAATTGCTCTGTCGGCGCATGTCCTCTTTCACAGTGAGGTGACTCAGTGTAGTCCACTTATGGTAGAATGTGTATGATAGAACCAAGGATAATTGTAATGATAGAAATGTATGGAATGTGTGTGTGCGTGTGTGTGTGGGTGAATGTATGCATAGTGAATAATGTTGGCATAAACTAGAGTTGGGTGTGTTTCCTTTTATTTTTCTTATCACATGCCCTTAATTTCTTTGGCTTACTATTTCTTACTTCTTTTCTAAGCTTTACATAATGTTGCTTAACTCAGAAGGAAGTAGTGTGACAGCATATATGTGACAGATCTCTATATGCACAGGCTTATGGAAATATGTGAGCATAGCTAAAAAATAAAGGTTACCAAATGCAAAATGCCTTAACGCTCTGTGCATATGACGTACCCCTGCAACCCAAACTAATATCCACATTTTTAATTCTAGGAAACTGAAAATAACCATTGGAAAAATACCAATACAATAATACCAATCTACGAGACTGGAGGGAAAACAGTCATACTGAGGGCATGTCCTATCTCTCAAATTTAAACCCTAATTTGATTTCCATTGAAGCATGTAATTTGTTGTGTTAAATATACTGCTTGTTGTGATAGACACATAATATGCCCTTTGTATTCTACATTATTCATCATTTATATTGTTGATATGAATTAGACTATTATGTCTACAATTCAGTTTGTCTTCTGTACATATTAATGAAGCAGACATTTCCCCAGACCGGAGAACCCTAGTGATAAATGAATGTCCTGCTATGCTGCACAATGCTTATACTTAATCATACTTTTAGATTTATTTAAGTGTGTGTGGATGTCCATATTTTTTTTTTCTGTAATGAGCATATCTTACAAGCCATAAGAAAACTGGAATTTGTTTTAAAAATTAAGCCCGTAAGAAAAATCACAATGAGACTTGATTCACACAGTGTACTAGTATCCTGGACATGAACCTCTGGGCAGACCAATGCATTCACAACCAGACCACAGGGTTTCCTGTGGCTATATTAGTTTTACTACAAGGGAAGTGTATTTTGGAAATGGATTGTGAAGAGATATAATGTGCAAATGAAAATTCAGCAAAAAAGGACTTCCTGAGTTTGCTATTATCTTACTATGTTTTCTGCTATTGTTTTACATGTGTATTTTACTTAAACTGCAAAAAGTGCATGAGTTATTGTACTTGGATGGGACAACATCCTACCCATAAGGAGGGTTATTTGATGTGAAAATGAAGTGATCACACTAGTAGACTATAGGTTATGTTTAATAATGTGCCTGTGCAGTATAATTTCCCTTTTTTCTTTCTTAATGGGGAAAGGGTTTTAAAAGTTGTGGTTTGATGGATACATTATTAGTAGCTGTGATGTGAAAATCTACAGTATAATCGGTTATAGTGAATTCTGCATTGCACATAAAACCACTGAGCTTTCTTCTGGTCAGGCTTTCAAGTATAAATACACATTGGCTAGAAACTGGGAGACTGTAAGTTCTAGTCCAGCTGGGTGACTTTGGGCCAGTCACTTTCTCTCAGCCCTAAGCAAGCCGCTTCTGAAAAACCTTGCCAAGAAAACTGTAGGAACTTGTCCAGGCAGTTGGCAGGAGTCAAGACTGATTTGAAGGTACCAATTAAAAAAAAAAAAAAGATACAGCTTGGGTATGTTGCTTCTGAAATCTCTGAAGCTGAGTGGTAAGTAACAAGAGCAAATCTTAAAACGTTAAGGAAGACTTTTCTGCAGGCAAATAATGATCTAAGGCAATTTGGAAACACAGATTTTTATGTTTAAGAAGATAATTCATCTTGGTTGGAAAAAGTGAGATAGGTGGCTAATAAATTGCATGCATGCATGCATGCATAAATAAGAATAACAGTACTGAACTAGTCTTTGAATCTGGCAGCATATAAACCAACCATATTTTTTAACCCTAGCTAGTTATATTTAACCTTGCTAAGGTCCTGAAGGTCTTAGGAGCTACTGCTTCTGCTAGTTAAATATTGTTAACTCTTTTATATGGAAGATTGTATGTTGGACTAGATGAGTAATCCTATTCCAACTTCAGAAATCTTTGTATTTTCTGAAATGATTTTTTTTTTTTAAAAAAAAGAAGCCATGTATTTACAAGGCAGGTAAGGGTAAACTTTCTGAATTACTACTTCCATTATTTAATAAACTTCATTTATTAAAGTTTCATACAATGTTAAATTATTATTTTCATATAAACTATCATTTTAATGCTACTTTAATTGTGGAACAGTTTTTACCTTTTATTATGTAAGAATCTTTTTCATTTAACTGTGTAGTCAATGTCAGTCAAATCATACTACTGTCAGAATTTTTTTAGAAAAATCAGAGGCTTAAATGTAAAAAATGATGGAATTTGATCATTCTCTATGAATAACAGTACAGCAAATTAACATTTATTTTTATATTTTTTTCTTAATGGAGTACTAAGGAATTAGTAATCATTTGGCTAGTTAAAAGAAAGCACCCATAAGGGAAGTCTGTTATTTTTTCCTTCATTTTCAAAAGTTTTCAGATGTAGTACAAGTGTTGATAATGGTTATTTTTAAAGGTTCTGATTAAACACCCTTTGTGTAGATCTAAATATCTAAATGATCCGTAATGCATTTATTCTTTTTGACAAATGAATTTGAACAGGGCTGGAAAATAGATTCCAGTTTGTTCAGAAATTGTGAATTAACAGTTGGCAAAGATAGTCAAATCAAATGGGGTCACAAGCTTTCTTTGTACTGATGAGCGCACTTGGAATAACACAATTCTCATCAAGTTCTTTTTAGCAAAATTTATTGTGTATAGGATTACAAGAATTTGAGGCAGTGAACTGTTTTCAATTTAGAACCAACATATCTCCAGGTCCATTCAGGTAGAGACTTTCTGGTTCTTTTTCTAACTTCCTATTGACAAACCTGTGAGGATATGGGTGTCTTCAGTGATAATTGGGAAGTTTCCAATTCATCATTTACATAATGAGATCTTGAATCTCTGTTTGGAAACAAACTCTTACATCCTGGT